TTTTAAATACCGCACATACATTGGCTTCTTTCCATTTGCCAGGTAAGCTACCGCTACTAATTGATTCCTGGTAGATATCTGTCAGAATCGGTGCTATTTGACTTGCTTTTTCTTTTAGAAACCATGGTGGAATTCCATCCGGTCCACTTGCTTTTTTTGCATCTAAGGATGCTAGTTGTTTCTCGACTCCTTTCACCGTGATCACAATATTACCAATGGCAGGCGTGAAGTTACTTCCTGGAGTTGGTATATTCTCGACATTTTCTGTCGTGAAAACACTAGCAAATTGTTTACTAAGTACCTCAGACTTTAAACCGGCATCGCTAATGAGTTCATTATCCATTTTAAAATCTTCAACGCCCGGATTGTCTTGTCGTAATCTCTTAATATAGGACCAAAAGGCCTTAGGATTTTCTTGCATAGTATCAGTTAAATAACCAGACAAATATGTATCCCTAGCTCTTTTCAGGTTCTTACTCAGTTGTTTCTTAGCCGTCTTAAACTTAGACCAGGCAATTTCTTTTCCCGACTTTTTAGCTTTGTTATATAACTTTTGTTTGATTCGGGTTTGTCTCCTAAGTGCACGATTAAACCAGGGCAGATTATAACGAGATGATGTGTATTTGCATGGTATGCAAGAATTCATTATGTTTTGAATACCTTGTTGAAACGCATCCCACTTAGTATCAAGGGACTCCTGCTTCACTGAACACTCAAAGTTATTAGCCAACTCACGTAGCTTTTGCTGTATTAGTTCTTTGTCTGCCCGCTTCCGGATGAATATTTTTCGCTTCACATGCCTTTTCTTTTTACAGTTTAAATTAACCTGGAAATAAACAATATCATGGTCGCTAATTCCCGGGAGTACTTTGACGTTGTTGATAATGTTTTCGTTATTCGTAAAGATCATGTCTAGTATATTGTGTGTTTCTCCCTGACTCCTTGTTGGCTCTTTAACCATTTGGTTAAGTCCATGTTCGTTTATAATTTCGAGCAATCTATCAGAATGAACAGAAGCCTTTACTGGAGCATAATCTTTCCAATCGATATTAGGTGCATTGAAGTATCTTGCCGTCAATATGTTGTTAATACGCCATAAAAAACATCTTTATAACTACATTTGCTCAAAATTACTCCCAAAATGCGGGAAATGCCATTTCAAAGACACAAAAATTGTAAAAATCGAGAGGGGGCAACCGCATGCCCCCATACCCACCAAGAAATGCCCGGTTTAAGGTCCATACAGACCGAACGCGATTTGGCAACGCGACGCGAATTTTCAATTTTCAATGACATTTAACTTCAATATTTTTCTATGTTTTTCAAATATTGGTAACCACTTAAGCAATTTTAGCTATTTGGTGTGCATATCGGTTGTCTGGAAAACGCGTGCACGTACACGCGTACACGTACACGCGTACATGGAAAACGCGTACATGGAAATCGCGTACATGGAAAACGCGTACATGGAAAACGCGTACATGGAAAACGCGTACATGGAAAACGCGTACATGGAAAACGCGTACATGGAAAACGCGTACATGGAAAACGCGTACATGGAAAACGCGTACATGGAAAACGCGTACATGGAAAACGCGTACATGGAAAACGCGTACATGGAAAACGCGTACATGGAAAACGCGTACATGGATAACGCGTACAATGTTCATTTGTAACGTTAATTAATTAAAACTTGGCGATTTTATTGAAAGTTCTCTTGCAGACTTAGTGATTGTGTCAATGATGGTCAGATCATGGCCTCCGTGAAGGACAACTTCACAGTGGACTACGTAATGTTTAGTACTTTCATTGTGTTCCAACATGCGTCCAGAAAAAGCAGCCGTATTTCCAACCACCTCACGCTATTATCCCATGCACGTAAGATAATGTCGATAATGTCAATTCTCCGCGATGAACATTGGAGATATATTAATCACACATTCGGAAGCCTCGCAATCCAATAAAGAAACATTTAAAACTATGCACTGACGCTTACAGACTGATTATCTATTATTTTAAATTGTTAAGGTTTTCTTTAGCATATAGTTTATTTATCATTTATAGACCCGAAGCGAGAGGGATTCGGCGAAATATTACCCGAAGTGATATTTATTTAATATTTGAAATATCATCACTGAGGGTATGTTTCGGCGAATCCCCCAAGGGTCTATAAATGATATATTATACCGAAGGTAAAAGACAGCACTATAATAAGTTCAGAATAAATTAACTTTAAAACTTGCTGAATATTAATTAACTATAAAGCGAATACAATTTTTAATTTCTTATGTATACCTGTGTTTTGATGTTTTCTCTTTAAAATATTTGAGCATGTATTCTTTGGATTATTGAAGGTAACGTACGTCTTAAAAATTTTTGGTTACAGTAAATCAATAAATCTGCATGTACGCACCTGTACGAAATTACAAACAACAGCTCGCGAATGCCATGTTCTTTAAGAGCGTGCATGGTATCCTTTCGTCGTGTGTGAGCGTGAGATACTATAATATCCACTACAGTGGATCTCACACTGCATTGCGAAATCATGAATTTGAGTGAAATACCGTTAAAAAACACATTGTCACGTAGTACAAATGCTATTCTTTTATAGGACAATTTGAATTTGATTTATAATATATTTTATATATAGACACTTAAGCTCTCTGGCTCTGTTGTGTTAGGGGCCATTCACAAAGGATGTCCGGCCAAATGATGGATTTTCAGACCCCCCCCTCTCCGCCCCTTGTCCGGCATTGTCCGAATTAGTGACCCCCCCCCGGGACATCCACCATGCCTCGCTAAAACTCACGCAACCTTGTATATGTCAAGTTTACTTTTAGAACTTTTTTATAACTATAAATGTATTGAAGGAAAGAATTAGATAATATTATAAAATGTTCAAAATGCCAAGAGTTCAAAATAGAGGAAAAAGAAATTTGTTTTTGAATTTTTTAAAATTTCGGACATCCGGATTGCTGAACCCCCCCCCCCATGACCGAGTTTGTCCTGATTTTCCAAATCCCCCTCCCTCCCCCTCGGCTCGACATTCTTTGTGAATGGCCCCTTAGTTTGATCTAATCATGTTATATCACCATGTCGTGCTACGGCATGTAAAGTTTATGTCTTAGACCTAATTTAATAAGGGTTTGGGGTTGCGTTGCGTTGCGTTATGTTATTTAAAATTACATTCGGTCGCCCTACATCGTCCACAGTTATAACTGTCCACAGTTGCTAATGGTGAGCAGGACAACAGATGCTATATGTACTTGTCGGCGCAATTTTTGCAAGTAAACATGTAAATAGCGTTATGTTTTTCGGTTACATTTGTTTTGTCTTTATGATTATAGTAAACTTGGATCTCAGTTTGCATGTTGGTTAGATCCAAGTTTAATTACTAATCATAAAGACAAAACAAATGTAACCGAAAAACATAACGCCATTTACATGTTTACTTGCAAAAAATGCCAAAAATTGCCCCGACAAGTACATATAGCATCAGAGATAGCATCTACAGTGTCTGCTCACCATTAGCAACTGTGGACAGTTTATATAACTGTGCATGGACGATGTAGGGCGACCTAATGTAATTTTATATAGCATAACATATTAACATAACATGACATGAGATGACATGACATGACATGACCGGCCCAAACCCTTATTAAATTAGGCGTAAGTATAAACTAGGCTAACTTTACATGCCGTAGCACGACATGGTGACATAACATGATGAGATCAAACTAACCGACAACAGAGCCAGAGAGCCTAACTGTCTATATATAAAATATACTAGGAGTTACTATCGCAAAGAAATTGCTGCCTCGCCCCTAAGGGATCAAAGCCAGGCAGCATGCAGGATTCGCTGAATAAGGGGCTGAACACATTTATATGATCCTACTTTGCCAGGACAAGTTGTGAGGCAGGATTATTTTTGATGTATTGAAATAAATTATGGTGCACGATTCAGCAAAAAACTACATAGTTAACTGTAAACTAAAAGCAATAAAATATATTATACCTCAAATTCAAATTGTCCTATAAAAGAACAGCATTCGTAACACGTGACAATGTGTTTTTTTACGGTATTTCACTCAAATTCATGATTTCGCAATGCAGCGTGAGATCCACTGTGGTGGATATTATAGTTTATTATATGGATATGAGTAAAATACCGTAAAATACGCCACTGATATTTTCCGTATTTCACTATAGTGAAATATGAAATCATATCTTACGCGGGAACGTCTCGCGCGGGACCCACGCTAATTCCCGCCATTTTCCGTTTCTGTTTTGAATATACAATATGACAACTTCTCGACATTTTGTTGATGTTTTCGACGCTGATTTGGCAAGGTTTTCTGAAGAAAATGAAAACACAAAAAGGAAGACTAATTAGTCCTATTTGGCGATCTTCAGCGACTATTTTGCCTCGATTAGCAAGCGGAGAGACATAAACATTGTTGCCATACGGTGAGCTACAAAACAAAAAACAAAACTTGAATAAACTAATAAAGTCATACGTTTTGTTGTTTTTGCTTCAACTTTTATCCATATAATAAAAAGAACATTTCACGGTGGCTTTGGAAATATGACTTTTATTTTCTCGTGTTGAAAACAATTTTTACTCACTCGCTGCGCTCGTTCGTAAAATATTGTTTTCACCACTCGAAAATAAAAGTCATATTTCCGTGCCACCGTGAAATATCCTCTATATATATATATTTATATATATATATATATACATATATATATATATATATATATATATATATATATATATATATATATATATATATATATATATATATATATATATATATATAAATGAATGATCAAAATTAATGAACAATACTCTCAGCCTCTGGAGTGTCTGTACTAAAAAAACTTAACAATATACACTCTGCAACTGAAAGTTCAAAATTCAACTGCAATATAAAAGTCGATTCACTCTACAGAAAGCTTTATTAAGATGGTCTTCCAGTTTAACAGAATAACAAATAAAAACAAGAACTAAAAGTACTTAAAGACATGTACTGATTACTGTTATATATTTTGTTAAAAGGCTTATTAAGATGGATAATTGAAAGTTTTGAACCTTCTGGTCGATCAAGGTTAAACATAAATGATAAATGAACTACTTACTTCCCTTTAAAAGTTTGCTCGATCATATTCTGCCTCCGTAATTGACCATTTGAGGCTGTCAAACCCCAAACCCTTTAAGGCTGTCAATTTCCCGTTTGTAATCTAAAATGACTGAAAATTGCAAACTTCGCAACGCTATATTTTCCACATTTTACAACATTTCGCAACGAAACTTTGGAATATTACTAATTTTGTGATGCTCTTTCAAGCTGTGATGAAATTTTTGTCTAGACTTGTTTAGATCAAAATTTAGTCTATTACGCAAATGGTCAATTGGAAAGCAAGCTAGAAATTGTGTTGTCATACCACTGTGGCGATAAAATATTATGCATGAGTCAATTCCAGGAGTAACCACCTCCCCCCCCGGGAACACACCCGGGTATTTGATTTGATTGGTTATGATAGTGTAAATGCCCGGGTGCCGGGACACAACTTGAAGACTAATGCACGGCCCTCGGGCAAGTTGAGAGTGGAAAATGACCCACCCCTTGAAATCGACTGTAAAAGTTAATTAAACTTTTAATGGCATATAGTCATAGTCATTTAATAACATTATAGTATTAATCTGCAATAGAATATTATAAAACATAAACCTTTAATAGTTGTATTTAAATTTGCATGGCACAGGGTATAATTTTTGCTTATTCTTACAATAAATTTCACGCCACCTTGACCATGAGGGCGCAAAATACGATCAGCGCGCCCACATGCGTGCCTGAAACCAGGTTTTGCTGCCTTAAAATTTGTGCGTGGGATTTTGGTCAACCATTTGTCAATTCGCCGGGGTCCTCTAATACCCGGCCCCCGTGCACATGAAAGGCAAATTCCCGACCCCCGTGAACTGTCTATCGGGCAAATTCCCGGGGGTGTCCCGGGGGGGATGGTTACTCCAGGAATTGACTCATGCATTATTCCCGTTTGAAAAACTTTGAACGAACAAAACTGACGATATTTTAGGGCAATCTGGATGATTTTCGTTTTAAAAGCATTAATATAACATCTTGTACCCACGGTGTAGCGATCAGCTTGGTAAAACTTTGCAAAGTATCTCAAATTCTGGAAAATTCACCTTGGTTCACGTTGTTCGCCATACATTTCTATAGTAATTTGTATCACTCCGTGGTCCCCGGAAGTGATTTTCGCATATATAATTTGGCTTCACTTTTCACAGCTAGAGAAGCTATATCCAGTCTACTATTAGATCAGTGGATTAAGACGACTGATAAGTATAGTCGGATTATTCGTCTCGTTTTTACAGTCTTTTCAATTGACGAATAATGCAGAAGGCGCATAATATGTGTCCAGACAAATAATGCGTATCTGGTATAAAAACGGCTAATGATATAATAGGGATGGAATTAATATTAGAATGTTAGGGTTAGTAATCCAAGTGAGAATATATTCATTTTAAAACCTAACCAGGAACGACTGCGAAAAATGCAGAACAAGGTCCTCTGGGAGGAATTGAACCAACAGCTCTGCGATTCCGGTGCAGCGCTCTAACCAACTGAGCTACAGAGGCCAGCTGTTGAGCTGCAACCGTAAGTTCATGTATATGGTAATCGGGTGTGCGGGTTGTGATATGGCGGACTTGAATGATGTGATTTCTTGCACTTCGCTTGGTGGAATTAATATTAGAATGTTAGGGTTAGTAATCTAAGTGAGAATATATACATTTTAAGACCTAACCAGGAACGACTGCGAAAAATGCAGCCCAAGGTCCTCTGGTAGGAATTGAACCTACGGCACGGCGATTCCAGTGCAGCGCTCTAACCAACTGAGATTCAGAAGCCAGCTGTTGAGCTGTAACCGTAAGTTCATGAATATATAGTTGTAACCCGCACACCCGATTACCTATATATACATAATATATATATACTAAAAATGTATATATTCCATAGATATCTTATATACACTAGATAATGCATCTAATTATCCTGCAATTCAAAAATTGAAGCCGTGATTGCGTCTCAGGTAGTTCCCATGAAATGAAAAGATTCGTATGTTTTCTATCTCTCAAACAGGAAACTTAAACATTAAGTTAACCCTATTACAAATACGTTATTAAACTATTCAAATGATGAAGTTGTTGTTGTTTTTAAGCGTTTATTAGCAAGTGGGAACGACCAACATGGCCGCCATCTATTCAAATGGTGGTAACCGCTGGAATATTCTTGGCTTCAATTTTACTAAAATAGATGCGCTATCTAGTGTATATAAGATATCTATTATATATTCTCACTTGGATTACTTAAACCCTAACATTCTAATAATGATATAATGACCGATGAATGCGTCCCGTAATCATTACCGAACTAACGTTTCCATAAACCAGAGCAAACATATCGAAATAATAGTCACCGAGTTTCCAAATATTGTTGTTGCTGTTATCGTCACAAGAAAGAGAACATAAAAAATTATTGAGAATTATTTTGGTCTGAATATATTGTAATTGGCAGTGTTTGCATGATTATGCCAGTTGCATGCAATCGGTAAATATAAGGAATACTAGAAAATACATACATGCAGAAACCCTCGCCTTGCTGACAAAACCATTGTTTTTTCCGAACTTGAAGTATCTAAAGTAGTTGTCATGGTAACACGATAATTTTTTAAGAATATGCTTACAAATGAAAAATCGCCTAAAAATATCACTTTTAATTATGGTTGCCAGATTGGCCTCTTGGAGGCCAAATAACTCGAATTTGGCTTTTTTTTTTTCTTGCTTGGCCTCGAAAAATAAATTTGGCCATTTGGCTTCTTTTTGGCCTGTTTTTATTTTCAAGAGCTATTTTTAATTTCACGTGTAATACTAAATTAATCATGAGAAACAGGCCAAAACGAAACAAAATTTTGTGTATCACTTCTCGGAGCAACCATCCTACATTATGCGGATAACTTAGCTGCTTGTTTCGTCCAAACACAGTTCACAAAATTCAGCCAATTGTAAGTGTATAAAAATAGCCAATGATAATATATAGGATCAAGCTTAATTGGTACTGTTTTCGCAGACGTCCGCCTCACGAATATTTTTGTATAAATGAAATCCTACGTAACTGGCTAAAGCTCAATTTCGTTTCATACTTTCATTTTAACCAACCTCGTCCCCAGGGCCTTCTTCATTAGGGCGTGGAAGGCCCTGGGCCGAGGTTGCATTTAGGCTTTTTGAAAAATTAGTAGTTTGGCCTCTTTTGGTAAAATTTGGCCTCATTTTATACAGTGTTTGGCTCCGAGCATGCCCTGAGACCTGGCAACCCTGAGTCCGACGGCCTTCGTGTATAATCGTATATGAAACAACTAAACAAGACTGCATATAATTCACTAGTGTATCTTTAATATTGATTCCCTTTTTTATGATATTCAACTTTTTAAATAAAAAAGATCATATTTGCAAGCGAGAATTTGAAATCATTTTATTGCAAACACAGAGTTTATCAATAAAGCCATTTTAAAAGGCAGATATTTAGTTTTATAAAGAACTCTAGTGACTTTAAAACGTTTTGCGAAGCGTTTGTGGTTGAATTTTACCTTAAATTAAGGCTTCTATTACGTATAATAACATACCTAACATATATATGTTGGGAAATTAATAATTTTGTAATTAAAAGCAGGGTTGCCAGGTCTCAGGGCATGCTCGGAGCCAAACATTTTTTTGGCCTGTTTCTCATGATTAATTTAGTATTACACGTGAAATTAAAAATAGCTCTTGAAAATAAAAAGAGGCCAAAAAGAAACCAAATGGCCAAATTTATTTTTCGAGGCCAAGCAAGAAAAAAAAAGCCAAATTCGAGTTATTTGGCCTCCAAGAGGCCAATCTGGCAACCCGACGGTCGGGTTTTAAACCATTATAAAATCAATATTTAAAATAAACTTACCTTCGTTAACGTCGGCTCCCTTCTATTAGCCGATTCTTTCGCAGTTTCTTTCTGAGAGAGCTTTTCAAATTTACAAAATCTTGCAAAAATGCGAGAAAAAATGGAATATATTTGCAAGAAATTTATCAATCATCAAATCACAAGAATAAAATCAGGAAATGTTTGCTTACTATGCTATTTCGCTGTCGTCATGCAGTCGTTATGATGCAAACTTTAAATTGGACCAATCAGCGTCCGCAATTCATGACAGTCCGCCATATTTTTGAGATCAGTGAGGATGACCACCCACCGAAACATCGTTGGTGAGCCACGCCCGCGATATTTCATGAACTTTAGACTTCGCTAATGCTTTCGTTTCTCCGGGTGTAAATAGCCGGGGGAATTAGTACCCTCGCACGGCGCTTCGCGCCGTCGGCTCGGGGATGAGCCCAAATTTTGAGGACAAGTATTACATATACCGGCACAAATTATTGTCCAGTGATGATTGACTAACCAAGTGTAAGTACAACCACATGTAATGGTCGACCTTATACATAATGATGTCACAAGGTTTGATGCCCGCGTGGAATGCTGGTCTTAGTAGTCATCGCCCGGGAAAATTAAAGAATTCAAAGTGGCCACTATCAAAATTTTCCAGTACGATAACTACTAAGACCAGCATTCCTCGCCAGCATCAAGCCATGTGACGTCATTATGCAATAAGTTCATTCCTCGGACATTCCCCTCTCATTCCCTATCGAATTTCCGCTCAATTTCCGTCGATTCCCGCTCATTTCTTTCCCAATTCCATTCTCCCTTCTTCGTTCCCTATATCTTAAGTTTAAAAAATGAAGTGAGCCACCCTATAAGTTGTGGACACACATGCAAACTACCTGTTGGATACTCAAGTATATTGGAATAAATTACAATGTAACCGGCTGGGCTTGAACATTCCTTGTAATTTAATATTCCGTTATCGTCTTCATTTTAAGCTTTTAAACAACGAATTTTATAGCGAGCTTAATTTAATCCAGCTTCAGTATCATATTTATGGTATATGCCCACGTGGTCGTCGGCATTTTTATCAAGTTTATTCAACCTCTCGGTTGATGGCATTGTTATGCTTAGTTGTCTAGAATCAATTCCGCGGCAAGCAATCAAAGCGAAGTAACCAACAAAGTAACGCATTGTGCGGTAAGTTATTTGACGATCGGTAATACAATTGCTGCATGAGAAGTAGACCCTGCGGTAGATTGGCTATAGAGACTGCTCTTTATCAATTGCCTTCACATATATTGCAGTCTGCTACTCTTCACAGAGTCTAAATCGTAACTGTTTACATATTGCTGGAAGCCAAATTTCTGCAACGAATCTCACAATACAGGAACTAATCTTCTTGTGGTTGCATTTGTAAAAGGTTTTGCTAATTTAGGATACGATCAATTAATTCTTTTCTCTTCCGCTATTATTTCGAAAACGGATACAAATAACTACATCAACAAAAGCGTTTTCGGATCGTTCTCGACTGTCTACACTACTGCATTGCAAAACATCCTAATTGGCCGGCGTATTTTTTCATTTCGTCGCTAATCATGGACACATCTTCGAAGAAAGGCTGCATGGAAATATCTTCAGCCTAGGGGAAATCCTTGCGAATTGTTCCTACAGGTCGAATAAAAAATTATCACTTGTATATTAGGCTTGTAGTTGTAGTGACTTCCCAATTGCAATCGAATAAATTAACCCAGGATGGTGTAGACTATATTTTGCATACATGTGGCTTTTGTGTACTGTAAGTTTTTTTTTCAGTCTAAAGCACATTTAATAATTCAGTTATATATACAAGCCATTCAGCTGAAATCAAACAACTAATCGAAACATAAGTACGTTTGCTGTTTGCTGTCCACACCAATTCAAAACGCCGCCCCTTTCAAATTTCTCTTCTTACATATTCGTTTCGAAGAACTTCGGTTTCGTGGGGACGGTATCTGTGTTCCATCGTATCATAGTCATAGTTTGACGATTATCGAATGTGTATACAAAAGCTAATATGCGTTTTCCAACCGTCGAAAACGGATAGTGTGGACGGAGTCTTATAGATATTATATATATATGTCACATTCTATATCAGATGTTCTTTGTTGGCAATATGTTAATAACATTCGATATCTTTAAACGTTGCACTGCAGGAGAATCTGTTAATACGAAATATTATTTTATGTTTTGTTATAGGTTTTTATCTGTAGGCTGCTCGCAGATAATTTTTAAATCAGATATAATAAGACTGCGACTATTACAAGGAAAATATTAGATAGTCGTAGCAGCTGCAGGTGTTTGCACGAATAACCTGCTTCTTGTGTACATAATGCAACTCTTTATATATTCAAACTTTATCCTGATCCCACCTGATTGGTTAACAACCTCAGCTCGTTCGCAATATCCGGTATCTGTCACGTTATTTCAACTGCTGGCGTATATTGGCGTGTAATACCAGTGCAGCGGGATGAGAGCTGATAACTTTTGTGCTCCTTTGAATTTTACATTAGTAGTGTATAGTTAACAATCATTCTCCGAGGAGAATAACCTAGCACTATATATATACACCGAGACTGTAGTGAATAATTGTTTCAGCATATAGCACAACAAAACAAAAACGGCCAAAAAGCAACAACAATTATTCTATTTATTATTCATTGTACTATTTTCTTGTATTCTTATTGGTTAGAAGCCAGCAGTTAATTTTCCGTATGTCGGTGCAGACACGAACATGACAAATAAATCTCGCATCAGCATGTGAACATGACAAACTTAACTCGTACAGTATCTGTAGGTGCCCGCGTATTTTTGCAGCGGTATTTTGCGTCAATTGGGAAAAAATTGGAAATTTTGTAAAATTATTTTGTTTTGACAGTGGCTTCTGCTGCTTCTGCTCGTTTTGCTTCGGTTTTAACTGAGCAAATTGAAAAAATAGTTCAAGACAAAGATTCTGAAAATTTAAAGATTCTGAATAATAAAAGAATTATTGAATCGGCTTACGCAGGATATCGGAATTATTCAGACCTCGGTCAGAGTTACCTGCCTCAGCTTCGCTTCGGTGATATAACGCTGACCTCTGTCTGAATAATTCTGATATTATATTGTTCCGCCTCATACAATAACTTTTTAAGTATTTCAGCTCCCGTAATAGTTGCAATTTGTCAACACTAGAAACAGTATTTACACGCTTGACGCTTTTATTAATTTTATCACTTATATTTATTACAAATAGCTTTAAAGAATACCTCTAGACAAAAGATTCAAAAAGATTAAAAAAGATTCAAACATTTATTTGTGCCAACAATAAACGTCCAGCTGGTAGTATTTACAGTACGTCCGGTTTTACATCCATATCATAACAAAAGCTCCTCAACTAAAATATTATAAGTATTTGATCTCTGCTCAAAGCGTTGGAGTGGTTCTATCTCCAATATTATACCATTTGATTTCTGGCCGACCTTGATCGATCATGACCGCCTTGTTGGTTTATCCATCTGTTCGTTAAAATCCGACCCCATGTGAACGTTGACTAACTGAGCCAAAAAAATTTTTTTCAAGGTCCTACGATATCATATGGACTTGGACACAAGAACATTGTATTCATACATACTATCTTTGATAACAGTTGTAATCGTGGTGTTTTCACTGAGACTGTATAGAAAATATCAGATATCAAGATATGAACGCAAAGTAGTGGATATTTCTAGGTTGCCCACTGGTGCAGTCACGTTCGACGCTATCGTCAACGAATTTCTCAACTTAAAAGAAATTTCTTGCGCAATACGGAAAGCTGGTCTGCAAAAATGTCAACTTATTCTTGGAATTGACTTCACTGCGAGTAATGAATGGCAAGGGAGAAGAACATTTTCCCGGAAATCACTTCATGCTATTTCGGAGAAAGTTGACGAATGTTATGGTCGCCGCGGTTCAATGCATCATTTAGGATTATTTCGAGATAATCCATATCAGAAAGTAATTTCTATCCTAGGTCAGACCCTGGAACCGTTGGATGACGATAATCTTATTCCTGCATTTGGATTTGGAGACTCGATAACTAAGGATAAAGATGTATTCTCATTATCAGGTTTGGTGTTAATTAACAATTATTCGCCGAAGGCGAGGTGAATATCGCTGAATAAAAACCGAGACGAAGTCGAGGTTTTTATTCAGCGATATTCACCGAGCCTGAGGCGAATAATTGTTTTAGTATAATTACAAAGGTGATTATTTGAAAAAAATAATATAACACATCTCAATTTTTTGAAAATCGTTTAATTAAATTCATAAAGAAAGCGGTATGCGCAATGAAGGCGCTCGTATCGCCATCAAGGATGTTTTTTGTAGTAATTCCTATCACTTTTTCTTACAGAAAGGTATAGAATTTTGATAAAAATTCGGTTCATTTCGTCAGTACTCATGTCTTCAAACTCATTTGTGAATTCTGACTGTTGTTGAAACCAATCTGTAGAAAATATTTTTTACAAACGTAAACAAATGTCTAGACAATTGTACGGCAATTTAAAATAAAACGATGTTTTATGCGAAATAAAGTTAAGCAGATTTCTGCAACTTAGTTTCCTACCTCGAAATAATTTTAAGTCAAATTTTGTCTCTTCTTTCGTGCTCTTAGGTACAGCATTTTCTTTAAAATTACTTATTTCTTTATCTGTCACTTTGGCAAAAGAACTCGCCGCCATTTTGGAAAAACCGCTTAGGTGATTATCGCGTAATAATCCGAGGTCGCTTGACCAATCAGCGGCCACAATTTTCGATAATCACCTTTGTAATTATACTAATAGTCAATAGGATAAAGAAATTAATCGGGATGTAAATGCAGAGGTTCCTGATCTACCCTAACCTAAATAGAAACATTAACTGATAAAGGATTTTATTGTATTTTATCTAGATTCAATTCTCAGTCTTCTCTAATGTATAAACTAAGTTTTATATAAATTATATTTGTTGAAAAAGAAAAGAGGCAGACTTTTGAACTTGTGCTAAACAATAACTTTTTAAAAATGTTTGAAACCTTTCAAAATTACTCGTTACAAACCCGAATCAAGCGAGGATGAGAACGAATGAGATTTGGGAGTCACGCGACATTGGTTAGCTGTTCTTAATGCATTTCAAACACTATCATGTATTCCATTTAAGTTGAAACATAGTTCAAACTCTGATCGAACGTATATTTTGTTAACAAAGAGCTTGAAATTTCCTTTGTATAACCTGATTTAACATGGAATTTATCATAAGTGGTATGCTACATTTGTTAAGAGCGGTAGAATGACACCCTCAGCCAGTTATGACTTATGAGCAAGATTGTAGGATTTGGCGGACGAAGGTCTGGTTAATATTTAGATTTTTTTAAGTGCCTGGTTCTTGTCGTGATTATTTTCACCATCTTACATTATTTTCACCACCTATAGCGGCTATCTTGCAAGCCTATTTCTAGTCAATCCTCTTTCCAATGAGCATTATTTTAACTATACTTTTTCTTCTATTCCAGGCAAAATGAACAAGCCATCATGTAATGGATTCCAAGAGGTTTTATCATGTTACAAGGAAGTTGTACGACGTATTGTAATGAGTGGTCCAACTAATTTCGTGCCAATCATCAATAAAGCAATTGAGATTGTGAAGATGACAGGAGAGTATCATATTCTGGTTATCATTGCTGACGGTCAGGTGTCTGACGAACATGATCAGGTTAGTCTATCAATTAAAGTTAATATTATGAGATACATTTAGAAAATTTATGAAATGCCTACACTAGTCGTTTAGTCAGCGCAATATGCTTTGCTTTTCCCAAAATTAAGTATACTATTTAAAACACGAGCAGGAGTGGTTTATCATACATAAATACAACCATTCTGATGAGTTAATGGACCTATTCCATAATGAACAAAATTTTGATCTAGACAAGTCTAAACAAAAATGTCATAACAACTTGAAAGAGCATCACAAATTTAGTAATATTCCAAAGTTTCGTTGCGACATGTTGTAAAATGCGGATAATATAGCCATCCGAAGTTTGCCGTTTTTCAGTCATTTTGTATTACGCATGGGAAATTGAAACCTTTAATTTTTTGCCGGAGAAAGCGGTATCAATTTCCCGTGCGTAATACCAATCGCTCGCAATACGCAACAGTGAATTGTCTTGTTAGTTTGTTAGGAATCATAAGGCTTAGTTGTTAATCAAGAACAGCATGCCTAGCGTGCTGTTTTCACATGCACGAGTGAACTGAGCTGTAATATACAATTTGGCGAGTGATTTTGCGCGCTTTTCTTAACTTGAACAACATTCCCAAGTGTTTGGATCAGGCCATCCAAACACGGAAACAATAAAGTAATTGTTTTATAAGATAACAACTTTCCGTTTTAAAATTTCACTTAAAAAAATTCCGTGTTTCGATGGCCTAACCCAAAGACAGGTTTCGACCAATCAGAGCACGCGTTATATACATGTTATTTTATAATACTATTTCAAGCACTCGTTAATAATTCATAAGCTTATTGGCAATCATGTCAACCATAATATTGTATGTCACGTGCAGTGACTTTAAACATGATAAAACATTCCTAATTAGTATTCATTATATAAAGAATACTAATAAGACAGTTTCTATTGTAGTCGTGTCCTCACTAGTATTCTTTAATATATAAAGAATACCAATAAGCTTAAGGCAGTATATCTATTGATTTTGTAGTCGTGCTTAAAGCCGTTTAATAAACTCGCAGGTCGTGTTTTATTAGGTCTAAAGCCACTCGCGCTGCGTGCTCGTAGTTTAAACCTAATAAAACACTCCTGCTCGTTTATTAAAGGTGATGTAAAGTCCGCAATGTAAACAAACGCTTTGTTTACATTTTGAACTCAGTGCTACAGTTGTAAAATACGATTAGATATATATATTATAATGAATTTTTAACACTGTTGCGGTTCGCTATGCTTGTAAATGAATGCAGACTAGAGATTCAATTCAAGAAAGTTCGGAAGGGGCGAAATATTAAACAACATTCCAAAGGTTGCTCCCCCCACTGATGGAATGTGTTGATGCGCAGAATATATACGCAGAACGGACTTTACAGCATATTTAAACAGTACATGTCTCATTATATTAAATTCCCTGAGAATTTTTCTCCATGACTCCAAGTCACATAGTTATTTAACTCAACGAGATAACTGCGCAAGTCACAAAATAATGGTAGTATTATATTAATAAAAGCAATTAGATCCAATATTCGAATGCGATTTTATATGTTTGGAGGGTACTCAGTAGTTTTATGCACTAGTCAATTGAAACCTCGGCCTCCCGACCCCCGGGATAGGGCGGGGAAATTAACATTTTGACAATGTTAAAGTTTGGTAATTTCTCCGTTACTGGGGGAATATTGACTGTTAAAGTTACCGCCCCTATGGCCCCGCACTTTGCAAATTTTCATGACTTGGGAAATGTGAAATCGTTGAAGTATAAAATGTTCACAACATATGAAGGCAATTCTTGATCTTAATCTTTGATCCGCATCAAAAGAAACTGAATAATCTACGTTTCGAGTATCTTGCAGTCATCATCAGGAATATATAAAAAGTGAAAGTATATTCCCCTTTTTTTAAGAAAAACTCAATTGAGGAAACAATTCTCTGATTTCGAAGATTCTGCATGTTGCTACGAGGATAAACTCGTTCCGGTCCACTGACTTTCACATCAGCCGCGCTTTAAAGTCCCGACTATTGCCCCGGCTAATAAATTGACTTGTTATTTACCCTGTACCCCGGGAGAAATGGTGCATTAAAACCGCGTTAATCCACGGCCATTCCCCCGTTAATTCCCCGCCCTGTCCCGGGGGTCGGGGCCGGGGTTTCAATTGACTAGTGCATTACTGCTGGCAGTTCAAGTTGTGTATTCTTTTAATTTTTTAAAAAAATCTTTAAAACATTCAATTTCCTAACAAATCTCTAAAACAGTTCACGAATCCGGTTTTTAGATAAAAATCCTTAAAAACGAGAGTCCTGCTATGCATTCAATTAACGGCAAAACGGGGTACTATGTTGATGAGCTCATTCATTAAGCTTCTATATAGCCAATATGGCTTAAGTTCTGTTGGACAGATCTTTACATTGCTTTTTGGAACTGGTCATTTATATTTACAATTGAGTTAAGAAAACTACGCGCAAGTATAACGCCATTCCATGTGCACAAGATAGAATTGGACGCTTTTTGTTTACAAGATTTCACAAGCGTTCTTGAAAATGTGACACTTCCGTAAGGTACAATATAGCCTGCATAGCCGAGAACAGCTTTTGTGTCGCTGTTCAAAATGAACACTATACGTACTGGTTAAAATGCGTTTTAGTGAATTTTCAACCGGTTTTCAAATAATACGTATTGATGTAGACGAACTGACCGCGCTATTCCAGTGCTTGAAAAGACTGGGACTGACCTTCAAGTTTGGCTTCAAATTTCCAGTTGGTCGTATCATTCCAGTTATATTAATTTCAAATTCAATGGTCACACTTAATACACTCTTTCGGAAAGTACGTCACTTTGGCTATAGAGCCTCGTTTTCGTGTATCTGACATCAGTTAAAGTCCACTTCTCAGTCACGAAAACGAGGCTCTATAGCCAAAGTGACGTACTTTCCGGAAGCGTGTATTTATGTAAAACGTGCGGAATCTTGGAAAACTCAGTGCTATTGTGTTCGTTTAAACATTCTGTGAAAATTTTTAACAATGAAATACAAATCGTTTCTACTGATCTAAAATACAGTTTTCGGACGAATCCGTCTATTGCCTTTTCCTTAAAGCGTTGCAACCATTCAAATTCATTATAGTTTACCAGTAAAATTCTCTTGTACGACCTATTATAAATTAATTTGAATTTTTAAGCCTGAAGGGTAATCTTTTCCACTAGCTTTTGTTCTTAAATCAGCGTTCAAAATTGCTGAAAAACGATGAATGTTATGCTTGCAAATCATGGGGTAAGCTCGATTGCAAGGTTCTGCAGGTCTTGTAGAAGTTGAATCCTTCTCATGAGGTATAAAGGCCTGTGTAAGAGGATGTAAAATTATAATGTATAAAAGACAGTCGGAAGACAGCGGAAGGGAGAGATCAGCTTTCTTTTATTTAACCATTTATTTTATTGTAGGCTACACGTGCTGCAATAGTTGCAGCCAGTTGGTATCCTCTCTCAATAATCTTGGTTGGTGTTGGAGATGGTCCTTGGTGTATTATGAATAAATACGATGATAAACTACCTGGAAGACAATTTGATAATTTTCAATTTGTTGATTATCATTCAGTGACCAAGAAAGCTTGGCGTTCTGAGTTAACTTTCGCTGTCCATGCCTTGATGGAAATTCCAGACCAGTATAAAGCAATACGAGCACTGGGATTGCTGGATACTATACAGAGTGACTCAGGAATAGAGTGAAGACTTTTGTGTGTGTGTGTGTGTTCGTGTTATGTAGTCAGGTGAAAATGATGATTGTGATGTTACTCTGAGTGTGCATCCACATTGGGCGAGCTGAAAAGAATGCCTGACCACGTTGGGAATCGAATCCGCGACCGTTGGGATACTAGTCCAATGCTCTACCAACCGAGCTTCGAAGGTCGCGGGTTCGATTCACACATCACCACGATTCCCAAAGTCGCGGGTTCGATCACCCCCGTGGTCAGCTGGCAAACTTATCAGTTTGCCCGGTGTGGATGTACACGCAGAGTAACATCACAAACATGAGAGTGAAGAATGTTTCAAATATATAGTTACAGATTTGTTTCAATCCGGAACTAACTTTCTTTACATTTGACAGCAATACCAAGTACTTGTGCTGATGTCACTTCTTCAACTTCGTTCTTAATAAGTGCTATAGTGTTACAATGTCATTATTATAATGAAAAACTGCACATCTTCAAACAGCAATGTAATATAAATATAATATACATTTATTTATCACTTCAAAATGTACATACAGCATATCACTGCAAATGTTATATCAATAATATTAAGGAACAATCATTAAATATTTTTCAGATGTCATTCAATAATAAATAAAATTCAATTTAGACTCTTATAGAATATAGAGAAATTACTTGCAGAACAATTTACAATGATAAGTTATCACAATTGTATTTACAAAATGAACCTATATTTAATTTAAATTTATTAACATTAATTATTATTAATTGCGTGAATAAATACATTTAGTTGCTTATTATAATATATCTGACTCAAGAAATGCGTAGTTAAACAAAATAGTAAATTCGGGAAATAACTGCAAATCCAATACAAATTAAATTATGTAAGATTACAGCCACTATATACCAAATTTTATCATTCGAATCGCATGTAATTTAAACAAACGAGCGTCTGACTGCGCAGGAATAAAATATTTGCGCAATTATAAAAAACAAAATGTTCTTCAAAATGCAAAACATTTTCAAACAAGTTCCAATTAATTAATTGAATAACCTTAAGCATTTCTTCATGCGCTGCCTGATTACTTATTTATATCTCACTACCATACTGCAAAATTTTAAAATTCCCTCTGGATTCATATTCATCAGTTTTCTCGTTTCAGATTATTTTTAAGATACAGTAGAACATCGATCTTAACTTACATGCAGAAAGGGCCATAAAACTTTGCAGCCCTGTGCAGGTCTGCGAAGAATGGTTGAGTTAATAGTTGCTGTAATCTCGTTGCAAACCATAATATGCAACAACTTTACTTGATCAAGGCATGGCTTCGTGACATCACTTAATCAATTTTATCCAACAGCAACATACCACTTACTTTAGCCAAATAATGAACAGATGCGTTGTAAATTTCAATAAGTTCTGTATCGTTATCTATTAAAAATAAACGTGTTTCATTTCGCTTATGCGTGAGTGTATGTATAGCAAGTTTGTCTGCATGGGAGCAGAATTCAATCGCCATTTTTCAATTGAATGTTGGTTCAATTTGCACGAAAATTTGATGAGAAATATACAAAACGTTATCTTGCTTTTCTAGCAAGAACTGAACAGATATTTAGTTATGTCAGCATAATGTATGCATGAATCATGGGCGCAGCCACGAGGGTGGTGGAAAGGGGGGTAGATGAGTGGTTCAGGACCTCCCCCATTTTTCTTCGGGGCCAATTCTGTAATTATTCCACAACTGCGTGGCACTGGGCGAGGCGTAACCGCGTAATACTTTCATCTATTGATTATTCCACAACTCCGGGCGTAACCGCGTAATACTTTCATCTATGACAAAAATTAAATACGCCAAAAGCGTACAAGCTTTCGTTGGTGGGGATGAAACCACTCGAAAATATATAAGGAGAATTTTGACGTTTCGAGTGAAGGCCCTTTCAGACAAAGGGCCTTTGCTCGAAACGTTGAAATTATCCTTATATATTTTCGGGTGGTTTCATCCCTATCAACAGGTTGTTCATTTTATTGGCACAACCTACACTGACAAAGACAGTTCAAGATTATACCAAAACTGTGCGTTTCGGATTATCAAAAAACATCGAAATGCATGGAATAGCCTTTTCGCAGACCTCCAAAATTGAAACATTTCTCAGGGACAATTCTCATGGATAGCCTGAGCCCCTAATTTTTCTGTGTATTCTCCGATTGTGCATCCTTCCCCACTCCCCCCGCTCGTGTAGGGCTGGCTTTGCCCCTGACATGAATCCTTGCAATGTCTAATTTGCTGATGGAGGACCGCAGTTTCTGACTGCAGGCGATCTTTTTCAATTGGCGTCCAATTTTATACAGTGTATTAATTTTAAAATCGATTCAAGTTTTGACAACTTCAGATTGTTTACTTAATTTTAAAGGTTTTGATCTGTAAACCAATGATAATGGATAAAGCGATAAACGAGAGGGTGTGGCAAGATAGTTCGAAGTCTAAGTTCGCGTTAATAGTAGTGTTAGGATTGAAATTGGATGTAGGAAAAGATTCAGGATAACGTTTAAGTTTGTTACAGGTGCCCAGTTGCTGGGAAACAGACTTCCCTCTTGAAAACTCCCCTATCGTATATCTCTTTTAACATCCAGTCTAAAGCAAAATTAAAGCAGAATTTGATTAAATATTGTAAAATTCCAAAGGCCCAGATAAACGATGCCGCATTCACTTGTCACAACATCGAATGTAACAGTTTCAGGATAACATTTGATGTGGCGATGATATAGCCAAAAAAGTAAACGGCACGCCTAAGACTTACCTGATACAGCGTGAACATCTTCGTGTAATCCAAGTATAGTTTCCTCCCAAACATCAAACAATGAGCTCACCAACATAGTACGCTGTTTTTTACATGGCATCACTTTTACAATTCTCTTAATTAAACTGACAAACCATTCCAGTTTTTCTTTGTTTTCATCTCCATTCAATTTATCTTCCATCAGTGCCTGAACATTTCAATAGCAGATAATCATATCTCAGTGAAATTCTTTTTATATACGTTTAGTATTCTTGCACAAGTTAATATAACAATTCCTACAAGTTGATTGGTCAAATTTGACGTATGAAGCTGTTATATTCACTTACAGGTGAATATAACAAAATCAAATTTGCAAAATGGCGGCTAGCCGTTGTGTGGAAGTTACTGATAAAGAAATAAGCGAAATTAAAATGAATTCAGTCCCACAAAAGATTTGTGTAAGAATAGTAAAACAATTATTCGCCTTAGGATTGGGGAATACTCCCCAATAAGCCAATAATCACCTCGCCTTCGACGAATAGGTGTTATATGTGTAATGTGCAGATTTTAAAAGAGAGCAAGCTGCTGCAGTGCTGTACATGCAGGTGTGTGTCTGAAGATGGCTTGGCCTTTTGAGATAAGGACTTCATGAGTATGTTCTCCAGCTGTTGAAATATTTTTTTAGCTTTTTTAGGTAGTTCGAACCAGTCAGTGTTCGGCAGCTTATAATAGAATACAAAAACCATTAAAAATTTTGTCATATTTTGTCAAGATGGTTTAGCATGATTACAAAACATGCTGAAACAATTTAGGATACCCAGGATACCAAGAGACGTTTGTTGTGCAATTCACAGATAAAATTACAAAGGTTACGTCATAGTTATACCTTGTACACTCTATGCAAGTTAAAGCGATACAGTAATAAAAAAAATTATGCGGAAAACGTTTTTACAGCTTGTTCAAATGTTGCTTAATTTAATTTTCGAAATATTTTGACAACAACCTTTATAGATCAGCAATGAAATGAATATAACACTACTGCACTTTTAAGGACAGTACCATGAGTTCCTTCGCGCAGGCGCAGGGCACCGTGAATCCGTCAGCATGAATATGTATTCCTGAAAACCGGCTTAAAATTTATAAAAATTTATTAAAGCTTTTTGACAGCACTAAAATATTCTATTAATGCTTTTATTCAGGTAAACGTCCTAGTAGACTTCAATATCATAACGACATGCCCGATCCCTGACCTGGCCTTGTGTGAGAGAGTTGCAAAGCATAACACGTAAATTATAATTTTTCTGTGTTGGTGTTATGTACTCAGGTGAATATGATGTTTGTGATGTTACTCTAAGTGTATATCCACACTGGCTACCGTGGCCAGGCATATTTTTCAAACCTGTCCGGTGTGGATACACACTCAGAGTAACATCGCAAGCATCTAACAAGATTGTTACCTGAACAATGTAATATGCGATAAAGGCAAGTTCCTGTGTTCTTCCATTTATCGCTTTACTGCCCAAAAACTCACAACATATTGCATCACCACAAAGTTTCAAAAGTTTTGCGATATTTTCCAGGCACCAACCTCCAGGAAGAACTTAGAAATAAAATTAAAAACAATATAAAAACATATGAATCATTTCATCATTTTTAAAAATTAAATTTGGGAAAGGATTTTGGTCCAGAAAGGTAGGAATGGATCTTTTAAATTATATTTTATCGTCAGAACAACATAATCAACGAAAGTAATCTCAACGACGACGACGACAGTAAATGTTTTGACAAAAAATAATTGATCACTTCAAAGGGATCACTACTCACTAGCTGTCATTCGAACTGTGAAACCAGAATATAGGTATAACAACACACATTCCGCGTCATATATATAAATGTGGTCGCTACCGTAGTATTTATACATGTACTTCTGGTTAGAGCTCGACAACTATCTCTCTGTAGCTCAGTTAGTTAGAGCGCAGCACATGATCCGCGCATGGCCGCAGGTTCGATTCCTGCCAGAAGGCCAATATTTGCATTTTCCGCAACTACTTCTGGTCAAGTCTAATAAATGTATAAAAATTCCACTCGAAATTTCTATTAAAGTCCCTTCAACAATTAGTTATGTCGAAATTTCGGAAGTGACAAATAGCAACAAATGACGATTATAAACATTTCTTTGGTGCAATTTTAGTATGAAAAAGTTAAAATGAGCAAGTATAAGTAATATTTAATGGATTGAAAACCGAAATATCTATTCTTCCGCCATTAAAATGGCCGCCAAGCAGGTTTGGGCGCACGATGCATTGTGGTTGACAATGACTCTTCAAAATTTTTGAATTGATTAACGCCTTTCTCAGACGCACTGTCAACGCATTATACACGGTTATACTTACTTAACAAATTATTCAAAATGCCGTATAGCTCTAGGGGTGGACAAACATTCTTTTTCTAAAGAGCGCAACAGGTCAAACATTCTCTGTTTATCAGATTCAACTGTAATATACTTATTCAATACTTACTAATCAGTTCTTCCATTACACTGATCAAATTATCACGGCTCCATTCTTTTTCATTGTTGTTATAGAGATTTGTCAACGCTTTTGCGATTCCTTCAAGGTCTTTATCATCAACACCAAAGAACGTTGGGCATGTTGTCATTTTATACCAATAAATCAATTCTAGATGAGACCATATTTAGTTGAGACAAATATAGCATAGCATAGCATAGCATAGCAAAGTGCATTTCAGTTTTTGAGTAAACTGGACTCAGTATCAATTAAACTATGGAAAGTACATATACGTCGCATTGCTGGATGAGGGTAAGATCTTACGTTGTATCATATTTCCATCTGTCTGGTTCTGAAAGGTTCAGATGATCATAATTCCATGCTTCACACGTAATGCAATTTATAAAAAATGTTTTCCATGGGAGAGGGTGGGGGGGGGGGGGGGTCATTTGGCACTTTGCTTCTCTCAACTCAATGTGGAAATTCGTTAGAGCATTTTCCTATAGGACGTTCAAGTGAGCGAATGCTCGACTGATAGTAGATATTAGCTAGTCCATCTACTTTGTCTACATATAGAAAGGAATTCCTTGATATAACAAAGTATCTCTAGACTCTAGGAAGATAAAAGTTCCTACATTTTGTGCTTAGCAATCTTTTTTTCCAATTGTTGTTGAAGCACCAGACATATATTTGGTGATGAAAATAATATTAATATTGTGATATTTTTATTATTTTGTGCATTTTATTAAATATATTTCATACCTTCATTAGAGTCTTCAGGTCCGTATAGTATATAAAGCATTCTAGCTTGATATACAAGGGGCAATGGCGAAAGCATTTGACATAACCAAAAACCAAGTTCAGCACCATCATCAGCTTTGTCCAGGAATATTTCTCTATAAAATACTCTGACATATTTTTCATACCAAGGCTTAGATCCAGGGCCTCTCTTTAACGCTTCATCCAACCGCTCATCGACACGTGAAGCACCTAAAGTACGATAATTATTGAAACGTAATGGCAGGGCTATATAACGAAAATGCAAGATATAACTTTTTGAGCATTGGATCTTGCAGCTGGCCATCAACTCAGATTGACTGAATCACGTCATGCGATACAGTTGATACCACTCATGGATTGATTTGTGCGTACGAAGTTCACTCTAAAATGCTTCAAATCCCAATTTCTTTCGTGCTTCATTTTACTGAGAACATAATAACAATAATAACACTTTAGTTATTGGGGACAAACATATATAGGCTAAAGTTACAACTTTTTCCAATCTGGTCCTCCTGAACTCTATAGACACCACAATAACATTAATGCACTAGTCAATCGAAAGCCCGACCCCCCGACCCCCGGGACTAAGCGGGGATTTTAACATTTCACGGTTGTTAAAATTCCGGCTAAAAAATCTTGTTCAATTGTTAAAATCCCCGGGTTACTGGGCCTAAACATTTGGGTGTTTTTTTTTCAAATTTCCGCAGTTTGATAAAAAACCTAACATTAATAATTTTATTAAAACTCCGCCAAAGTTATAGAGAATAATACATTGGTGCGCGGAAATACCAGATTTATTTCGAGTGTTGAACATGATATCTTACGAGTGAGGGCAGCGAACGAGTGAGATATCATGTTCAACACGAGAAATAAAGTGGTATTTCCAAGCACCCATGTATTTTCCTGTTTATTATATAAGCAAAATTCAGTGAAAAACAATAAAACGTCCGTGGCAATGCGTTTACAACAAATGATATTTTCACACGTTAAAAATGGCGTTAAATCCCCGGCTATGATGCCCGACTATTTAAGTACTGTTTAATAAACGAGCAGGAGTGTTTTATTAGGTTTAAAGACACGAGCGCGCAGCGCGAGTGGCTTTAGACCTAATAAAACACGACCTGCGAGTTTATTAAACGGCTTCAAACACGACTATACAAATTCAATAGATATACCGCCTTATTAGTATTCTTTATATAAAAAATACTAATGAGAACACGACAACAATAGATGCTGCCTTATTAGTATTCTTTATATAAAGAATGCTAATTAGTAGTGTTTTATCAGGTTTAAAGCCACTGCACGTGACATATTATAGTTGACATGATTTGCCAATCGAATTATTAATGAGTGTTTGAAGTCAGTGTTAAAACCCCGGGTAGCAAACAAGCGACGTTTGTTAAAAGCCTGTATTTCCCCCGCAAAGTCCCGTTAAAACACGGTATATCCCCGGGGGTGGGGGGGGGGGGGCTGGGCTTCGATTGACTAGTGCATAAACATGACTATTTTCAGTACTTCTTAGTTCTTATATATGAACAAACGAAATCATGGGTATAATTTAAACTATTAATATTATAACCAGTACTCTAATTCGGTTGTTCATACCTTGAGAAATTAGGCAATATTCTAAGCCTTGTTTCAAACGTCGCACTTCTCATGTGTCAAACGCATTACAAACAATAGATAATGAGGCATTTCAGCTGATTTTCATATTGTTTTTAATGCATTCGGCACATGACGAGAAGCGCAACGTTTGAATTATAGTTACAGAATAATATGTCGAAATACGTTGACACATAACAGCTCACAAGTGACATTATAAATCTGACAATATATGGCACATTCTCCATTATAGTCTGACAATAGGCAAAGTTTAAAAATATTCTCTAATGTCAATTTCTTTAAAACCCAAAAATGTGAGTTGTTTCAATAACATTTCTTCGGCATTTATTTTCGGCATGGAGAATGACTTTTGCAATAAAATTCGGCGTGCAAAATTTTAAGATAGGTCACCGCGGACGAAATAATGAGATATAGTTCATCAATGTTTTTCATCAATTAGATCTCGTAATGACGCCAGCACAAACATACCTCATAGTAACGTAAAGTTTTGTTGATATTGGACGACATTCAATTGTTTTCAGCGCAGTTCTTATAAGGATTTTGTCAGGATTACTATTTTGGCATATAGCACTATGGGGGTAAGTTTATAATGTTGTGTTAAATTAATTGGGTAACCTCATTATCAGACAGACTAGACAGTGATTCAATTCCAACAGCCAAAATGCCAAACGGACTCCATGCATGACTAGTCTGTCTCGATCAGGAATGGCTTTCGCACGCTTATGGAGCCTCGGTTTCATGATTGAAATTAATTAACTGGAATCTAAATTCTGATTCTAATCTGGATTGGAATATAAAATCTCAAACTCATTAATAATTCATGAGTAAATTAGCCAAACATATTTTGCTCACATGATAATACTGGATACCTGATGAAGTACATTGATCCAGTCCTAAGACTGGATCAAAATTAATTCAGTCCTTGGACTGGACCAAAATTAATTCACCTCACTTTAAGTCGTGATTTACTTGCATGAGATTTCATTTCAAATCCTCCAATTCGGACTGGACTAGATTTCAAGACCGCGCATTTTGAACCAGTCCTCTGCTTCGTCTCGGACTGGATCAAATTGCGCGCGGAGCTGAAATCTAGTCCAGTTCTCATAGTCGTATTTGAAATATTACATTATCATAACGTACTTTCTAAAAGGGTGTATTAATTGTGGTATTGAAAAATGTACCTGCATGCATTGTATACTACACTTTAAACACACGAATCATTACATTTACCTTTGACAGCCAAGTACGCCCTGCACTTCTCGTCGTTTTCCCATCCCGCAATTAAAGCATGGAGCATATTGCCGTAGCATCGGTAAGCTACCTCACTGCCATAATGTTCACATATGGCCAGGTGGGTGTCTTTTAGCTGCAATATCGTAAAGGTTAATAAATCAAACTAAACTGTTAAAATTGAAGTAATATTTGGCAAAATAAACTGACGAAAGTTAACAAATTATAAAGTAAATAAGTAAAATCACTATGCTGTACGTTGCAGTACACGAGTTCCTCCCTGGATTCTGGGAGTTCTCTAGTATACTTCACCAGGGGTGTTGTACACCTCATTAGGCTCATGCATTGACTTTTCAAACATTTGGCTGGTTAATTAATGGTTGCATGTTTGTTTGATGTTGCATTCATTTAGTGAAGCCAACTAAAGTAGCGAAAAACAACATGATTGTCTGATATAATATTTGATCAATCTGCGGTATGTAATTTATCATGACAGTAGACTAAGGCTATGTGCACACGGGCGTCGTTTTGCAGCGTTTTCAAAAACGTTTTTGTCCGTAAAATCGTTTTGACACGTATTCGCACAGCCCAAAGGAAAATATCTCGGATATATTAAATAAACTACAACTTCTGTCGTAAATTGATAGTGTTTGTATCCGTTTTAGCGTGAAAACACAAATGAAAACGCTCGAAAACGTTACCGTGTGCACATAGTCTAAGGTGGCCCAACAGCAAACAACTTTCTTGTTTTAAGTCAGGATATGTTTTAGATCACTTCGGCCACCTTTTGTTGCCTGACGCACCTGGTTTCCAAGTTTGGGAGTAATTACCTTTTCCAATAGAATTCCAACGATTCTTAATCTCTCTCTTGTTGAATACAAACAGGTCAATCTCTTGAGAAATATTCCTGAAAGTGGTTTGGAAACATTTACACTCCGCACTACTACGCGTTATTTTGCATTACACAACCAAACAGACTCTGTAAGCTACGGTTGGAAACTCATTTCAAAGAAGTTTGTGGGAATTTGAGTAATCACCATTTTTTGATGCGATGCCAGAGTTTAATTCGTGATTATAATTTTCAACACAAAAAACCACAGTCAGAGCATTATACCCAAGGAAACATAAGTAATTTAACTACTTAAGACCGAAAACATAAAAGACCTCTCCCACTCGACCCGAAAACTTTGAAATTTACTCTAAAGCGCATTTCCAGACAATAAACAAGTCAAATAGTTCAGCCTTAAATGGACTCAAGCATGATGTCTACAGGGAACGTGAAACGCACCGTTACTCCTACCTCAGATGTAAATTTTTACAACAGGTCAATTGAGAAACGGCGCTATCTAAACAAAACTGTATATATAGTAATTCACCTTTTACGCGGGACAGTAACCTTACCTGGAGGTGTATTATATTACGTGCCCTAAAAGCTAACATGAGAGGGGCTTAAGATTAGGGGGTTGTATGATATTTTCAAACTCTATATTTCACAGGTGGAGAGAGAGAAATAATGGAGGTTTTATTGGAACAGCTGCATGGGTAGAATGAAGGAAAGAAAACGTTCTGGTTGTTCACAGACTTGCATGGGATGATTTGGCAATATAATGTTTAAAGTTTAAGATTGACTGATTTTAAATCTGGATGTATAAATATGCCGGCGGGGTGGAGAATGGCGGCGGCTGGTTGAGTTCAATGTAATTCACCACTGAATATATTTCAGAGAATGATCAGATATGTCATTTACAATACCGTATGCTTACCCAAGTTGTGAAAATGAGAGAGGTATGCTGATTCTCTGTCTGTTTCATCTGAGCTTTCAGGATTTATCACCACAGGTTTTAAGACTGGCAATGCTTGAGTGCTGTAGTGAAAACTCATCAGCTTATCTCGTAGTGCTCTTGAAGTTAAAGCGAGTGAAGCAAGATCGTATAGTCGCATACGGTGGAAAATATAAAACAAGATTTCATCTGGAACATAACTGAATACGCCAAGAGGATTTTGCGTGACTTTAGCTACATTCTGAGGCAAGGGTTTCTTGACTTTATTTTGAAGACGTAGGCTTGTTCGTCTTGTTTTAATACTTCGCAGATATTTCACAATTTTATTTTTATTAGTGCCAACCATGCCTGTATGTGATATGAAAAGAGAAATTGGCTTTAAGATATATATCATCTGGAAATATATATAGTATACAGAAATACAGCATGGATTAGTACAAACATGCATTTTAGTCTGGTCTGCCGTTTCTCGGAACAAGTTTGAGTTTCAGAATGGAGAATACTCGGCCCGCACTTCATGCACTAAACCTCTAGCCCAACAATATTCCAGATTTCATCAATATAATAAAAATAACATTTCCCCCATTCAGACAGCATCTTTCATATTGAAAATATGACGCTTAGGAAGGAGTGGAAGACAGGCAGGCACTTATAACCAGGTGGCCGAGTAACCGTCAAATGGACGACAACTCTTGAAATTCGACAGCAACTCTGTTTTCTTTAAAGATCAACTTGCAATTTTTTTTTATATTCCTTGAATACCTCAAAAGTTGTAAGCCACCGATTGCGTTTACTGCACTGTACTGTCTGCACCATTTCGATAATTTTTGTCGAAAATGTGCTGAATTATGACCATAGATGACAATTAATTTCAAGCGCCTCGTTTTTCAGCACGAGGTTGCCACACCGAAGGATTTTTTGGAATGCTAGATTTAATAACACTCTGGCTAAAAACACCAGGACAGGTCTGGAAATGCGAAAATCAGGAGGTTTGCAATGAGTCCTCTGGCAGAATACGTTTACTATTTAGCCTCTGATGAGTGATTTCCTGGCTGTTCATACACAATTTATTTTATATATATTTAATAGTTGCAGAGGTTAGGAACAATGACTCGACGCTACTACCATAGTCTAAAGGGCTTGCTCCAAATTAATGTCAAATTTGTGCTCTACAAATTTTGAGTTAAGGATTTTGAAGTTGCAAGTCAACTCTAATTTCGTGGACTGGGAGCTAACTATCTTTTAAGCCTGTAGAAAGTGGTTTTCAACTCGAAAATAGTTTGAAAACAAGGCTATTAGCTATTGAATCAAATTCGAAAGCTGTTCTGGCAAGATTTGGCAGAACCGTATACCCGTTGTAATATGATTTTAGGATCCATTCTCGTCACCAGGCTACTAAATTTGAGCTTGGTGTTGGCGGTCCCCGAGACGCCTATTCCTAACTCCAATTCAAAGAATGGCTGCTTGCCTGCTTCCAAAAAATGTATATTCTACAAACATGATATATCCGGTACACAATCAACATTTGGTTATGGAAATAACGAAATTCTCTTCAGAGCAAAGTTTTCTTTGCTTTCATTTTATACAAAGTAGACTCTTGCAGGGGATTGGAAGCAGGGACGTAGCTACGTGGCGGAATGAGGAGTCAGGACCCCTATCCCCACACACTTTTCATCAGGGCCAATTCCTCAGACCAGTCAGGCCCTAACAACAGAAAATTCCCAGGAACCCCCAAGTATTATGTGTATTCGACATTTGGGCCATTTCCCACCCCTACTTGCTTAGGGTTGGTTACGCCCTTGAGTGGCTTGACAGGAGACAAATTGTTTGGGTGGAACAACATGGGGTATTAACAACCCCACAACTAATTTTGAGTATGACGCCTTGGCAGTATTGTCTATTTTATTGAGAAATGAAACATATATTAATAAAACAATTAGTGTTTATATCGAGTGTAGAAAAAAGCACTCAGAGAGGATTGTTTATTAAAAATGGCAGATTTGCATGAAACAATACATATTGCGAAAAAAAGTGAAAAAGACCTCAATTGGTAATATATGAATTTCGTTTGGATAACATATTATTAAAAAAGTGAGTTCATTTTTACATTTAAATGTTCCCAAGTCGTATAAATAACATATAAATTATTAAAGTCGTATATTAATTAAAAATCTTATCATTTTTATCAAGCGTCACTGCAGTATGGTTTAATATAAAAATTTAAATATTGTCAAAAAATTTCAAAACATTATGCACGAATTTATCAACAAAAGCGAATTCAATTCAATATATTTTTGAGTCGTGTCATGAGCTGACTTTAATGTTTTAAAATAAATATGTATTCTACGAAAACAGGTTGAAAATTTTTGCTTTTCAAAAAAGAACTGCTTAATTTCGCTCTTTTTATATTATTTGCTAAGCGTAAAACACAACACACTCACCTTTTATGTTTCATAAATGAATTTCCGTACAAATAGTTCACAAAATACTTCTTCAAAGAAGTAAAAAACAGCAATTTAAGCTTCAAACAAAAACCAAAGCTCGTAATTTTTTATTTTTTCCCGCCAATAGTTTTCCACGCAATTCGAGTGACACACTCACTAATCGCGCAACATTTACTTTCGAGGATTTATCCTTAAAAACAGGAATTACGCACAGTTGTAGGGATGTATTCAGCGAAGGGACAAATATTTTTGGCATAGATTAATTTACGTGCTAAATATATGTCTCAATAATCATTAAAATGGACGAAATCGCATTCATGAGACTGGCAAACGTTCTAAATTTTATCCGATGAGCACTGCTTTTAAAATCAACTCCCTAAATTGAATCACATTTGACCCTATGAATTTTGGATATTTTATCGTTATGTTCATAATTATTTGTGACCTGACCTTATTGACAGAAAAAAGTAAATAAAACAGGGAAATAAAGGAATGAATTTATTGAAGGAATTTTGGATCAAGTAAGGAATTTTAGAGTATTTGTCCAGGAATTCTAAAGTTTGCATGCAATAATAGTCTTGGTCTTTCCTTACATGAAGTTTAGAAGGAAAACAATATGGAGGCTTTCGAGGAAGACTCGAAAGTCCGTTCTGAAATTGCCAAAATTGACAATGAACTTGAACGTATTCAGCAAGATATTGAAGAATTATTAAAGAGGCAAGAAGAGCTGGGTGATCGAAGGGAGTATTTACAAGAACAACTGAATGAAAATAAAGTATTTTTGCAAAGCAAGAGCAAGGATTGGTCGCTGAGAAATTTTGAATGGTCAGAAAAAATTGAGGATTTAAGAGGGAAAGTTTTCCATATTGATGAATTCCGGCCGCTGCAGTTAGAATGTATGAACGTTACCATGTCAGGTACTGTTATAAATTGTATCTGTGTTGTGTTCCATGAATTGGGTCGGTTAAAGGTTGTACAATTTGTGTATCAGTCAATTCTAGGATTCCCATCCCCCCCCCGGCATTTGCAATTATTTTCTTTAAAGTTAACAATTGCCCTGTGCCGGGTAGGAACAGCATGGCAATGCCCCCACCCATGACAAATGCTCGGCCCCGAGGCACACTGGCTCAGTTATGGAATATTTTTTAAAAGAGAAGCGGCATTTCAAAACTATAATTTATATAAAATTGCAAAACTAAAAGTTTTGAGCCGATCATAAAATTAAATAAACATTTAAAATCTAGCTGGTTCTCTTCATGTAAAATTATATGGGAAACGTACGAGGCAGATATGGGCATTTGACTATGTTTTTGCCCGCACCATTGGGAATTAGACAATGGGTTTCGACCGCACCATCGACCGTATTTTTTTTGAAAAGTCAAATTCCCGGGGGGGGGGGCATGATCGCAGTTGGAATTGACTCGTACATTATTTAATTTAATACGTCCTACACTACAGTACAGTCTACAGACTACAGTATATTTCTTTTCATACCAGGGCTGACATGAAAAATAGAGGCATTCTGGCGAGTAATATCTTTAGAAAGATACAATTTGAGTTGCGCTTGCGGAATGCAGCAATAAGACTTTGATCTGGAGATGAATTTGGTGTTTTGTACTCATTAAGCATATTTTTAAAAAATAATGAATAATGAAAAATTTTCGTGCGGCAGATAAATCCCATGCGGGCGGAGACGAGAAACATGATATCAATTTTCATTGGCCTAAGGGTCTGTCAACAAATAGATTTTGTCCTACATCGCGGACTTGGGCTGCGATGGGGGGTAGATTAGAATCCGCTATTACAAAATATTTGGGACGAAAACTGACTTTAGAAATACGAAGATTGGAAGAAAATGTAGTACATTTCAAATAATATTGAAAAGGCAAAAAGCGGACACAGCTCAAAAGCAATACTTTGTTTGATATTTACATTTTGAAGTACACAACCTGTGCCCGAACCAATTCTGGTTAATTCCTTTAATATGTGTTGCCGCTGGAATAACTGATCGCGGCCGAATATTTTGTGTTGACATTTCAGCAGTTTGCAGTTTGACACAAACTTTCTTTCGTTCAATCAAGGATATAAATATTGCATTTTGTGGACAAAAAATTGGGTATTTATTTAAATTTTATGTTGCTTACAACTGCTAAAGAACAAGCCGATTGTAATGTTAGAAGTCAATATGCTGTATTCTTGCCTAAAGGTCCTATAGTAGACTGCTCACAGTCATATTTTGGACAATATTTTGGACCATAATTTCAATTATCTTGGGTATTTATTTAATTAATCTTGGGTATTTATTTAAATTTTATATTGCTTACAACTGCTAAACAATACGGAAAGTAGTTTTTATTTATTACAAGCTGATTGCAGGGTGCGAAATAACGGCTGGAGGGTCGCCAGTCAAGGTGACCGGCCAACTCAATTTTAGCTTAGACATACCGAATATCTGGCCGGTCAAATTATTCAGCTTAAAGCAAAGCCTAGTAAAGTATACCCCTAAAAATGTGACTATTTTCCCAGTATAGCATTATAAAAAACCTAGCCTGATAAAACAGCCGCCTGTTATTGCTCGTTCCTCCCAAGAATAGGCGGCTGTTTTATCAGGCTATATAAAAAGCCTTACTGTAATCAGTAATTAAAATGAAGATTAGTTTGTTCTTTTACCGAAAGTGACCGGTCAAAATGACCGGCAAGGTAAGAATTTGAGCGGACAACTCTTTACGTTATTTCGCGCCCTGGATTGTAATGTTAGAGGTGCACTGTATTCTTGCCTAAAGGTCCTATAGTAGACTGCTCACACTCATATTTTGGGTCACAATATTTTGGACCATAATTTCAATTATCTTTGGGTTTTTTACTTGCCTGCGATGAGGTAGGGCGGGAGGGGGTTTAAAACAATCGCGGCCCAAGTCCGCAATGCGGGACGAAATCTATTTGTTGACGGTCCCTAGGACTTTCTTGACAGTAAGTTTCCTTGTATAAAAGCTGCAGCAGTCATCCCACTCACTGCTTTTGAACAACAAAAACATGCTTGAGCATCTGTTCAGTTGTTATACAATAAACATGGCAAATAAACAATCCTCGTTTTTATTCTCGTATTCAAAGATATTATTCAAATTATTAAATATTCATGAGCTTCAACACCATTTTAATATAATAGAGAGTTTAAGCTTTGCGTTTATACGCCAAACGTACACCAGGCAAAGAAAAATTTTACCGTATCAGGCAACAAAGAGTAAATAAATAATTTGTTTTAAAAACTGCAATGTATGCTTATATTCTTTCAACATAAGAAAGAAAGTATGAAACAAAAACGTTCGATGAAAATTTTGCCAAGGAAGTTCGGACCCTGCCATTTGCCGTGGCCCGGAAGGATGAAGGCAGCTTAATTTAAATTCTCCACTAACATGTTGGAGAAACGTCCGGTTGAGACAAATGCCTGACCGGTAAACAATTCCTTGCCCCGGGGACAATTTGCAAGTTCCAATGCCTGGCCACCGGGCAAAGAAAAGATTACAAATGCCCGGGGTTTGCCTGGGGTAGGGGGGAGGATGGGCAATGCTAGAACTGACTGATGCATTACTATATCCTGTACAGCCTAATATTTACATGTCTGTCAGATTTGGGATCCTAGGTAGCGACGTAAATAATAAGGTGAAGACGTAAATAATAAGAGTCATACTCAAGACGTAAATTTATAAAATGATACCATCAAAAACTTAAAATTTTAGAGAAAATTTTCTTTGAACAGTCGTGTTGTCAGCTTACTTGATTTCCATTCATTGAATATTATTACAAATAATGGGTTTGAGCAAATTAGCGAACACTCAATTTTGATAATAACTCAAAAAACTTTCTTTTGTGCCAGCTTAAGGTCCTCTGTCGCAATTTGCAAGATTAAAGCGAAGCTGGCAAGTTTGGACCACACAGGGCTAACGGCAATTATTTTGCAGCTACAGTACCTGCAAAAAAACTAAATTAATAAAATATACAGGCATGTATATATATATATATATATATATATATATATATATATATATATATATATATATATATATATATATATATATATATATATATATATATATATATATATATATATATATATATATATATATATATATATATACTGAGCTGATCCAAAGTGCAGTCAATGTAAATTCTGTGTGGGAGATTCGCCATAATTTACATTACATAATTAAATCCCATGTCTAAATAACTAATCTAAACTCTTACATGTATTCTAGTAAATACTGTTTAAAACATCATATTCATGAAGTTAATATCAAATAATGGCTCAATGTGTATACTCAGGTTAGAAAATGCTGTGCTGAGTGGTTATATTACTACCTTAAAAAATAAGCAGAAACTCAACGTTTCGAGTGGCCAGAACTGGATCTGGCCAGAACTTCCGAAAAAATTCGGGACTAGGGGGAGCTGGGGAGGATATGGCACTAGGGCAGCTGGGGAGGAGGAGACTACGGGGAGCTGGGGAGGATATGGCACTAGGGCAGCTGCGGAGGAGGGGACTACGGGGAGCTGGGGAAAATGGCACTTGGGCAACCGGGGAGGAGAGGACTAGGAGGAACTGGGAAGGATGGCACTAGGGCATTCGGGGAGGAGGGGACTAGAGGCAGCCGGGGAGGAGCGGGGTGGACCACCCATGCAATAATATCAAAAAGATTTGAATACCGTAACAGATACTGATTTATTATTGACAGTTGTTGAACTGCGTAACAAATTTTCAACCAGGAAAGCATTGGTAGGCTAGAAATTGAGCTAAATATTGCATGGAATTTAAAGCAAAAACGTTTCAAGAACTAAGATTGTTTTAACATAAAGGAATATTTGGCTTTGCCTAAGAACAAAATGTTTTTGTTGTAAGTTGCGTCTAGTTTATACTATATACGCGCGTTTCAAAATTTTGAGGCCAGATTTTCCGCTAATGTCAATACTTCGCGAAATATTGAACGGGTTACAAATGAGGTTGCCAACATCTCTTTGTAGTGCCTCATTTTCTCTGAATCTGCATCACAAACTATAACTGCAGGTCGGCAACATTTTTCTAACCTAACACGACGATACAGTACGTAGTAGCCATTGCTGATTGCCGAAGCTTGATGTTGAAATATATTGAACTGTATTAGATAACCTGCGAACATGTCCTCTAAGGGGCTGTTTACGTGATCTCGGTTTTCCAGATCGGCATGAAAGGCGGGATGATTTTCATGTAATATTCAGGGCCGTAACTAGAGGTGAATATTCATATATCCATGTTCACATACCGTAAAGACAATGGCTTTCAAAAGAAATCCGTCGGGCAGAACACGAATATATGAATATGCCCCCCAATTATCACGTCTAATTAGGCCCTGCATGTATTGAAATAAGTTAGTACGCTTAAACGTCGGTTAAGGGGACTGAAATGTTGGCAAGAAGATCTCGCAGTTCAGGAAGTCTATAAACTATTATACTAGGAAAATAATGCAGTTTTGCTGACTTATGAACCGTGACTTATTTTAATACGAAATTATCCCGCATTTCATCTTGTCCCGGCAGAGGCATCATGTAAACAGTCCCTAAAATATAAAAGAAAGCCTGCAGCAATTCTTGGTCGAATCTTGCTGTGATTTGTCAATGTAAAACTAAACTCGACTGAATTTCCTGCTGCTTCCCTACATCTCGAGAAATTTTGTTCCGAGTTCAGACCAGACTGAAAGCCTTGAATTGAGGGCCTGCATCGATGACTAATGAATTTGAATATCTGCGTCTCAAATCGTGACGCGAAATTCTCATTGGTTTATATGTTTCCGCTGAGCTCTATATATGTCAACTGCTGAAACAGCACTATGAGTAAAAAACACATTAACTGATCAAATTGGTCTTGACCTTCTTATCTCAAAGCATGAAATGTTCTGTTTTGGGAAAACAGTATTTAAAACATTTAAACTTTTGCTTGAATATCTTATATTTCGAAAAACAGTATAAACTGTACGGTCTAAATTTAGTTTGCACGGTCTAAATTTAGTTTGCACGAAAGTTGTAAGCAACACTATATAAGGATAGACATTCCATATTTGGAAAGACGAACGTTACGGGGCAGATATTCAAAATTGTATATCATCAGTGCAGGCTCTCAATTCAACTTGAGAGCCTGTTCGCAGGCTAAGTTCAGACCACTGACTGCCACAATTGCGAACTTAACCAGTTAACTGGATTTTTTCTTGTAAATAGAAACTCCGTAGTTAGGTTACGGAAAATGTTCTCAATCTTTAAAAATGCTAGAAGCGTGAGATGGAGACAGGTCACTCCTGTCAACTGTATCTTTATGTAATATACAGAGACAGGCCTAGAAAATATATTTCTCTTCCTGGCAGCAAATCCAGAGATAAAAATTTCGTGTCATAAGCCAATTTCATAGTCAAATATAAAACTTCCTGCATGTGGTAGATTTCAGAGAACGTATGGTGCCGCACATTGTGATTAACTCCAATCTCAGCAAAGACAATATCAACTTGCAAAAACCTTTTGCAATTTTTAGACAATAAGTAAATTATATGGCATTCCAGTATATGAGATGACACACATTTTCTACAAGGTGTAAGAAGATTTCCTGCGAAGATATTTTGTTAAACATTTTCTGGCAGCGGTGCTGCTGGCGCTGCTGTTGACATGCTCAAATTTTTTGTGTGTGTGTTTTGATGTTATGTAACTTTTTGGCCTGCCCGGTGTGGATATACACTCAGAGTAACATCAGACACATTATGCTCAAATTTATGGCATTGAAGTTGTACGTGGTACGGTTTCAATATTTTTTAGGGACCGTTCATTATTTATACCTCGGGTTGGTACCGAAGAGAAACGAAAAACACTGTAATTTTTTTATTTACCCAACCTCAGCATTGGTCAAAATAATGTTTACCCAATCCATGTACTGTACTTCATAATAACTAAACACACAGGATTATGGTGATAGAAATCAAGTTGCCTAAGTGACTGGTCATAAAGTAACTGCTAGGGTGGGCTGGAGGTAAATCACAAATTTTGCCAATAAGTTTGGTGACCCATCTTAGGATGGAGATAAAAATTTCAAAGCCCATCCAATCTTACCAAATTTATTTCATGACCCACCCACCCAATCTAAATTAGGAAAATGCACTTTTATAATAAAAAAACTTGCAGGTATGAACATATATCAATACAGTGCCGGGGCCCGGTGTATATCTTTATTTTTTGTATCTGCGAAGCACATTAGTATTAACGTTTATACTCATAGCCATTCAGCGACGAGCTTGTCTAATTAAGCCAATCAGCGATTAGCTTACATCAATTGTTTACATCGTGCTCGCACCTAACCTGCGAACGGGCGTTGTTTGGCCTCGTGTAAGTCGTGTACTCGTGTTATTCTTTGCCATATTTTGGCTTCAAAAATATCTTGATTTTATCTTGAATTGGCTGTCTTGTTTTCACCATTCTACTTGTGATATTATTCCAAAGTTATCTATCAACATGGAAACTTATCCTCATCTGGTAAGTAGCCAAATACCACATTTTATTATATACATTTATACAGTATAAAAACAATCATTGTGTAATATTTTAAACAGTCAAAACTCTGGCTGCAGGCATATATTGCCAATTAACAATATCACAAGAAACTAATGTTCTCAGGAGATATTGAATTAAATCCTGGTCCTGTATTTCTGTAACTCTGTTCAAAACAACAGTCCAACTAAGTTGTCATCAAATGTAGTGTTAGAGCAAAGGTAAAGATGTCATCAGTTAAAATTATACTTTATATACATTTTGGTTTTACACAATAGAGTTAATTAATCAAAATTGTTACAACCATTTTCAAATGCTAATAAAAGAATCCCTACCCTCCCTCCTCATTACATTGTCATTTTGCTTTCTAATATAAATGTTTTTGTTTAGAGATTAATACAAGAATGATGAATACATGTACTGACCTACTGGATATTGGCTGGATAATTTTGTCAGAACAACCCACTTGCAAGACAATCTTACCTAAATTCATCAGTATGGAAAATAACTTAACAGCTACAATAATTATATATTATATGGATGGATCAGATCAATGGCAGACAATGTACAAAACTAAACTTGTGATACCTTCTACTCAAACAGATATTCTCCCACAACACAAATTGTTTTTGTGTGGATATGCTGAGTTAAACCGAACAGTGTGGTATATCATTAACTGTGCACAGGGTTGGAATTGAATTATATACTTCACTCATGACCTTCAAAACATTCTCTACTATTCAGTGCATGGTCTTCAATATATGATTGACTCTTTGGTACAGTAATGCATGTTCCTCGAATAGTGTGTATGTTACTCAACAGTTAACATTGGCAAGTGTAAACAACAAGTGACAGAACTTTGCTTCATATGATCACAATAAAGTTGTGAAAATTCGATGAGTATGGATTGACAAGTGACAATTTACTAAATAGCCGACTGTATAGACACTTATTGTTTGCATGAAATTTTTATTTCCTGACTGCATAATTATCCGTTACAAGCATAATCACATTATAAAATTAGTTAAATTTTAGGGCGTGGGGGGGGGGGCAGTTGCCCTGCTGCCCTCTGTGCAGTGTACAGCCCTGTTAGATTTGTATTATGTTTGATTTTAGAATCATATTTGCTATTATATTTATCATAATAAGTGATGAAAGCAGGGAAGCTTGTAAAAGTTAGGGGGGACGACTCCCACTAGGCGCCACCATGGTTGGTGCCAAGGCCCCCTGGCTTCCTACGCCCCTGGATGAAAGTAGATATGGGTTTTTGTTTGGTGGCCCAACCGTAGACATAAAAAAATAATTGGCGGCCCATCCAAACTGCCCAAAGATTTTCCATGGCCCATCCCAAATCACTCCGGCCCACCCTAGCAGTTACTTTATGACCGGTCCCTAAATTCTCAAAGCTCATGCCCTCACACTCAAACTTACTGAGTGTGCTAAAGCAATCACGTTCCTGCTGACCAATGACTGAGCCCTTCCTCAATCACTGATGGTCTATTTTGGTACAGAATGTGTTGACTATTGTACACATTTTTCTTCATATTTTCCAATGCATGGTTATTTTGGCTTTATTTTATGGACTTTATGGACAGACAGCCAAAAGTGTTTTTACCCAACCCATGAAGTAGTCAAAAACTTGATTAGCCAACCCATATCTCTTCGATAACAACCCCGGGTATAAATAATGAACGGACCGTTCATTATTTATGTTCTTATTTAGGGTCCCTAGTACAATTGTTGATTGCACCTGAAGCATATCAAAGGGTTTTAGACTGCGACGAGTCTTTGCGAGTTCGCAATGATTTCCTTCAACCTTCGGCCGACTCTGTTATCACAGACAATATTTTGATAGAATTCAGAGATTACCTAATTTTATCACTTCAACTCAGGAACGCGCAGCGACCCGTCGCCATTGCAAACTTCACCGTGGACGAATTCCGTGGAGCAGAAATTCGTGATAACGGTGAAGGGGATTCTCTAATGGTAACACACACTTGGCAACATAAAACATCCAGCAATTGACCAGCACCATTAGTTTGGAGTCACACCGACTTTGATATGGGCCATCTTTATCTCAGATATCTACAGGTAAGCCCTGAATTCCCAACGTCTTCATCACAGGGAATACAACTCGAAAATTATTTCTTTCTCACAACGTCAGGCTTATATTGCAAAAACGTAACCCAGCGAGTAAACAACATTGCTGTATGTCTTTGTCCCAATTCAGATGTCCATTTTACAACTACAATTATTCGCAAGACTGTAGTGACCGCACAGCTTCTCGCAAAAGCAATGCGAACATAGAAAGTGGGCATCTAGCTAATGCGATGACGAACTTACCATCAACTTCAGAAACATAGTATGCTCTTCAGGACAGAACTGAAGAATGCAATTAACGCGTATAACTTTATAAAAAATCAAGTCCATACCAACGTCGAACCAAAGTCCGACGAACCAGTGGAACATCCACATACACCAGACAAGTCAACTTCCACTACGAATGCGAACCAGTCAAATTTATCATCGCCATCGTGTTCAATACCACCATCATTTCAACCACCAGGCAAATCATTTGCAAAAACGAGTAGTCGAAGGAAAATGACTGCAGATGAAGAGAGTTACTTCAAGGAAGCAGTTGCCGATTTGCCACGAGATGAGAACTTGCCCGTTAAATCAATCATCTCAGCTCTAAATAACGGCAATTTTTTCACGTCATGCCCGTCTGCAACAGAATTTACAAAGCAACAGATTAGAGACAAGTATAAGTCATTAGTAAGAATGGAAAATCGCATTGGACAATAAAATTTCTTTTTATTTTATATATTACTGTAATTATAAATCAGTGTTTAACCCAAATAAACAGTGTCGAAATTATATCAGTGAGAACAACTTGCCAATGACATATCATTAGAGAGTTAATCGTGCCAAGAGCAGACCTTAGATTGTGACAATACAGTCACAATATAGTTACAAGTCAGGTGTCTCAGATTCACACTGATTTTTGTTCATCAAATTAATGCGTGGTGGGCATGAAATTTTCAATGAATTAGAGAGAGAGAGGTCTTCTGAAAAAATTACTTTACTCAGAAAAGACTACAGAACTGTATAAAATATGTCCGGCCCCGGGCGTGCATGTGTAATTGGGCCGCACCAATCTAGTTAATTAACTAAGTATTAATTCTCACTGGTCAGAACCATCAGGGCCTCATGAACACAGCCTGAATGGGGTGAATTACTCTACTCTAAAAATCCTCGTAGATTTTGTGAAAACTCGTAAGTCCCAAAAGGCAAAAAAGTCTCTAAACATCCAAATAACGGAAAATCCATTTCAAATCTCCAAAAATCCCGAAAAAATGATATAAGAAGGGTTTCAGCTTTTGAACATTTTTCATTAAAGATGTGCAGCATACTGTCGAAACAAATCTTCTACTGTAAGTGTAAATGTCTTTAGCGGGCTTATTTCGGCTTTCCCGTTCCACGTAACAAAATGGATGGAAATCCCGCGGAATGGGATTTCCGTCCAAAATAATGGGATTTCCGTCCCGCGGGGGGACGGGAATCCCGTCCCACGGGACGGGAATCCCATCCCGAGGGACGGGAATCCCGTCCCGCACGGGACTGTTAACTTTCCCGTGAACGGTACTGTACATGTAACTACAGGAGGAAGACGTATTTTGTCTTACCGTTCTTCTTACAGCTTCTTTGCAATAAAGTTTGAACATCTTTTGGGAGATATGTTGTTAAAGTATTTGTTGTCTAAAAACAATTACTGACAATATATTATTACTCTGATCAATGTAATGATGATTATTACTCTGATTAATGTGATAATTCCGTACAGGATTTTTATGCATAAGCATGAAATTGTCCGCAGTCCGAACTTCAAGGTTCGCAAATATGGTCAACAAAGATGCTAACTTCGATTCCCCATGGCTTTTCCAATAAAATGTAACGCGGTAATATTTACTTCTGCGCATTTTGACTGGCTTAATAGAAATATAATGCGGTAAAGGGCAGTAAAGGTGGAGTTACACGAGCAACAAAATTGCTGCAACTTGCAACAAAATCTGATTTCAACGCATGTTAAGTAGAAATATCGGCACATGTTGCCTTGTGATTTGTAATTTATGTGTAAACATTTTCAATTAACATGTGTTGAAATCAGATTTTGTTGCAAGTGGCAGCAATAAGTTTTGTTGCTCGTGTAACTCCAGCTTAAGCCACTCAAGCGATATTTTTATCAGGCGATATTTGTATACTTCTGAAACTATCGTGATTTCTAACGTTTGTATATAAATTAGCCTGCTATATACAGTAGATTATAAATCCGTTCCTGGCTTAATTGTAAGGAAGAAAGCAAGTAAGTTGGGTGTGCTAATTATTCTCACTTGCACACGAGAGCTACTGTAATCTGAATTGCGAATAAGTAATAACACAGCTTAAAATAATCGTTAATAATTCATAAACCTTGTGGCAAATCATGTCAGCCATAATTTGTCACGTGGAGTGACTTTATATCTCGTAAAGCATGTGGCATTATATAATTGTTCATCCTAATTAGTATGATTGTATAATGGTTCATCCTAATTAGTATGCTTTTGTAGTCGTATTTTAGGCTATTCAAACACTCGTTGTCGTGTTTTATCAGACATAAAACACTCGGCTGCGCCTCGCGTTTTATATCTGATAAAACACTCCTACTCGTGGTTTAAATAGTACTTAACCTGAATGAGGCTTTTAAGAGCCGTATGACTGATGTCTGATCACGGAGCACAGCTACGGTAGAATAGTCAGTTGGGGGCTAATCCCAACCCACCCTGCAACATTCTTTGTCTGAGGAAACAGGAGTTGATTTTCTCACACGAATACCCCGATTCCGGAACGAGAATTGAACGGAGCTTGCTTGACGATTATGCCACCGAACCCCCTCGCCAAAACAACTGTAGTTATAGGCCACCGAAACCTCGTCAAGTGAATAACTGTAACCTGTTTCAATGGACAGCTTGCATGTTAAACTAAATTTTAATCTAAGTAAAGAGAAGGGAATCAAACACCACAGCTAAAAAGAACATAATAAAATGAGTAAAATGGCATAATTTGGTAGCGAAATGTTCTAAATCTTGGAAAATAATTATAGCCTTGCAAAGTTTGCAAATTTTGTATATGTTTGTATTGCGTGCGGAAATTGTTACCATTTTCGGCTCAAAAATGGTACGAATTTCCGCACGTAATACAAATATACAAAATATGCAAACTTCGCAAGGCTATATTTCCCAAGCTTTACAACATTTCGTAACCAAATTTTGCAATTTTACTAATTTTAATAAGTTCTTTACGGGAATTTACTTTTTGCCTAGATAAAAATTGGTCTAACATGCAAGTTGTCTATTAGACAAGATTTCAAAATAACTTTTGATTTGATTAATTTATAGGTATTGACTGTATTCTTATCATGCCGACTGGTGGAGGTAAAAGTCTCACATTTCAACTCCCGGCCTTAGTATCATCAGGTTTCACACTAGTTATATCACCTCTCGTATCTCTGATGGAAGATCAGCTCATGTCACTGCAGGAATATAATATTGACGCTTGCTTACTGAATGCTGCCAGCTCTAAAGATCATGTCAATAATGTGCATAGTAGAATGATAACCAAAGAATCAGGCTTAAAAGTTTTGTATGTCACACCTGAGAAGATTGCCAAGAGCAAACGTTTTATGGCTAAACTTGAAAAGGCTTACACAGGTACAGTTGTATAAGAAAAATCATATTCTGAATAGCATCACTCGTAGACTTGGTGGGATATATTATGGATCACTCGTAGACTTGTTTTTATGAGTTTACTGTACAAGCCTTTGTTGAGCGTTAAGCATGTAGTTGGACGTGGCTGAAAAAAAAAACACCGAAGTAACATAGCGTAAAATTGGCTACCCCCTGTACTTTGCTTTTTGTACAATTTAGCCTGCCTGAAAAAATCCAACAGCAATTTTTGTAGCCCCAGCGACTTTTTGATGTTAACGTTTTGCTTTTACTATGTGACGTTCCCAAGCCCAGGTTATTCAAAAGCATGATTTATTCGGAATATGTGTAAAGGCCCGTTTACACGGGCGATTTTTGCTGCGATTTTAGTTGCAATTTTCTCCTTTTGGGGGATCTGAAGGAGTAGATTACTTAATGATGTTGTTATCAGATTTCATAACCTGGAACATTTATAACTTATCCACTCCTTCACATCATCCAAAAGAAGAAAATCACAACTAAAATCGCATCAAAATCGCCCGTGTTAATGGGTCTTAAGTCTCTCATGACTTGGCATTTAACATGATTGGACCGATACCTTGAAATGGGACTATTACTGGAGTCGATTGTAGTGTTTGTATATCCAATTGTACTCCTTGATCTATAACTCCTATAGTTTCAGCTTACTGAATGATTTCCATTCAGAAACTTGGGGCTGGTTGTATAAAAAAGTGATTAAAGTTAATCATAGTTAAGTAGAAATGTCATTCAATAAGAAGCGCCTATTTGAGAGTTAATTAAAAAAGTGATTAAAAGTTTTATACAACCGGCCCCTGTGCTTTATGTACTACAGTAAGTCTTCATTCTAAAGACTAAGTACACCTTGAGTCTTAAGTCTTAAGTTTGTACCAGCTTAAGTACGCGACTAAAAATTTTGAATTATCGCACCGTGAAAAATAAGAGTGTTGAAAGATAGTTCCGTTTTCTGTACGTCGACGACGTTCAGACTAACCAGCGTCTCGGTAAAACGTGAGCTTTGGAAATCGATTACAAAAGTCTGCTACCCGTGCCCCTCCCGTCCTTTTTTACTGGTCAATGCTCAGTCACCTGACGTTAGACTTTCTTTTTTCAGCTGGCTGCCTGTCTCGTATTGTAATTGATGAAGTACACTGTACCAGCCAATGGGGGCATGACTTCAGGCCTGACTATAAAGTTCTTGGAATTCTGAAAAGACAATTTCCTAATTCTCCAATTCTCGGACTAACTGCTACAGCCACAACACGTGTCATCGATGATGTGAAGAAAATTCTCAACTTGAGATCAAACTGTGTTTTATTGAAAGCTTCTTTCAATCGTCCCAATCTTTATTATGAGGTAAACTGTTAAATAAATGTAATACTTAACAATTGTTGAATGTGATTAGTATAGGTAATAGGATGGTTTCGAGTGCAATTTGGATATAACATGCACGAGTGAGTTTTTCAAAGAGCACCAAAATAGCACGAGTCGGAAGGACGAGTGCTATTTGAGGTCTTTGAAAAACTCACGAGTGCTTGGTTTATCCAAATTTCACGAGAAACCTCCTACTACGTATTAATAATATTATGTTGTCATAATTTATGTTCGAGACAATTGTAGTGACAATGTTTTCCTGCTTTGTTATATCACATTATACAACGCTAACAGCTTGAAAATTCCACTCAACTATGTAAGTTTTGTTAGTCTTGTGTAAAGGTAAAATCTTTCCATCTAAAAAAAGATAAAAGCCATATTTTCCACCCGACGTCAACTTTTACTTTTTGTAGCGCGGCGCCATCTTTGTTTTGTTTTGGAGCAATCTGTGACCCGATATGCACTAGTCAATTGAAACCCCAATCCCCGAGATAGGGCGGGGAAATTAACATTTTGACAATGTTAAATTTTGGTAATTTCCCCGCTACCGGGGGAATATTGACTGTTAAAGTTACCGCCCCTATGGCCCCGGCACTTTGCAAATTTTCATGACTTGGGAAATGGGAAATCGTTGAAGTATAAAATGTTCACAACATGTGAGGGCAATTCTTGATCTTAAACTTTGATCCGCATCAAAAGATACCGAATAAACTACGGTTCGAGTATCTTGCATTTATCATCAGGAATATATAAAAAGAGAAAATATATTCCCTTTTTTTAAGAAAAACTATGAGGAAACAATTATCTGATTTCGAAGATTCCACCATGTTGCCACGAGGATAATAATAATAATAATAATAATAATAATAAACATTTATATAGCGCACAAACCAAGACTGTTCTAGGCGCTTTACAGTAATACAAAATCCAATCTTAAAAACTAGTGTTAAGAATGTTAAAACTATAGAATACATCATACACTATTTAAAAACAAGTTAAAAAGATATGTTTTAAGAAACTTCTTAAAAATGGTTAATGATTCACACATCCGAAGATGAACAGGTAAATCATTCCACAATCTTGGTCCAGCAACACAGAACGATCTGTCTCCGTATGTCTTTAGTCTAGAATAAGGAATCTGGAGCAATTCATTTCCATTTGATCGAAGAGTACGCTGCGAAGTACGACACAGCATAAGTTCCTTCAGATACAATGGAGCAAGATCATTAACAGCTTTGTAGACAAGAAGTATAATCTTGAATTGAATACGGTATTGGACAGGTAACCAATGCAATTCGATAAGAACTGGGGTGATATGCGCCGATTTCTTAGTATCGGTTAGTAAACGAGCTGCAGTATTTTGGACTCTCTGAAGCTTCTGAAGCAAATATTTGGGTACACCATACAACAGGGAGTTACAATAATCCAGTCTTGAAGTTATAAATGCATGAATAATTATTTCTAAGCAATTTCGAGGTAGATACTTCTTAATTCTTGAAATATTCCTAATATGGTAGTAAGCTGACTTGCAGATACCATTAATATGTTCGCCCAATCCGATCCACTCATCAAAAATCACCCCCAGATTTCTTGCTGAAACAGTTGGCACAATTTTTTCCTTTCCCACCATGATATAATTTAAGGGAGGCATCAGATGATAGCGTGAATGGACTAATATAAGCT